CGGAGCCGTGGCGGGGCACAAGGACCCGAGGGGGCAATTGGGGGTCTAGGAGGGGCACTGGGACTGTGGGGTGACTTGGGACACCTATAGGGTCTACCAGCACGCTATGGGGCTGGGTTCTATGGGTCAGGGAGCCGTGGGGCAGCACCCTGACCCCACCAAGACCCCAAAACACCTCTAAAAGTTAACCCCAAACCTAACCACTCCCCCCTCTAGGGCAGCACCCAGTAGACACCAGGTCCACGACATCCCTGTGGGACATCTATAGGGTCCACCACCGCGCTATGGGGCTGTATTCTATGGGGCAGGTGGCCATGGGGCAGCACCCTGACCCCACCAAGACCCCAAAACACCTTTCGAAGCTAACCCCAACCCAAACCTTACCCAAGACCCCCAACCCCAACCCAACAAAGCCCGCTTTAGAACAGCACCCAGTTGACGCCAGGTCCATGTGGCATCTATAGGGTCCACCACCGCGCTATGGGGCTGGATTTTATGGGGCAGGGAGCCATGGGGCAGCACCCTGACCCCACCAAGACCCCAAAACACCTCTAAAAGTTAACCCCAACCAAAAACCCAGCCCAACAACTCCCTTTTTAGGACAACACCCAGTTGATGCCAAGTCCATGTGGCATCTATAGGGTCCACCACCGCGCTATGGGGCTGGATTCTATGGGGCAGGGAGCCGTGGGGCAGCACCCCGACCCCACCAAGACCCCAAACCACCTTTAGAAGCCAACCCCAACCCAACAACTCCCCCTTTAGGACACCACCCAGCCACCCCCAAGCTCCGCCAGCCCCCTAGGGGACACCTATAGGGCGCGCGCCGGCGCTATGGGGCAGCCCCCTACCTTGTTGCGAGGGCAGGCGAGGGGTTCGGAGAAGCCGACGAAGGGCAGGGCCAGGTTGAGGAAGGCGTTCTTGTAGGAGGCCAAGCGGCGATGACCTTGAACCAGCTTGTAGAGCTCCAGGCAGGCCAGGCCCACCACGGCCGCCGTGGTGGTGGCGATGGCCGGGATGATCTTCCCCGCGATCAGTTTGCTCTGCCCCATATGGAGGAACCTATAGCGACCGGGCAGGGGGCTGCCCCCCCCTCTGACCCCCCGGCTGCCCCATATCTCCCGAGGGAAGGGGCTGGAGGCCCCGGGTGCGCACGTGTGGGGTGCGTAGGTAGCTGGGGGGGGATGGGGCTGTATGGGCCGACAGGGCCATATAGGTCTGACAGCCCCATATGGGATGACAGCCCCATATGGGCCCTACAGCTCCCTATGGGTCCTACAGCCCCATATAGCCCTACAGCTCCATATGGGTCCTACAGCCCCATACGGCCCTACAGCCCCATACGGGCCCTACAGCTCCATATGGGTCCTACAGCCCCATATGGGCCCTACAGCTCCCTATGGGTCCTACAGCCCCATATAGGCCCTACAGCTCCAATATAGGCCCAACAGCCCCATATGTGCTGACAGCCCCATATGGGCCCTACAGCCCCATACGTGCCCTACAGCTCCCTATATACCCTACAGCCCCATATGGGCCCTACAGCCCCATATACGCCCTAGAGCCCCATATGGGCCCTACAGCTCCCTATAGGCCCAACAGCCCCATATGGGCTCTACAGCTCCATATGTGCCAACAGCTCCATATGTGCCTGACAGCCCTACATGGGCCTTACAGCCCCATATAGTCCCCACAGTCCCCATATGGGCCCTACAGCTCCCTATGGGCCCTACAGCCCCATATGGGCCCTATAGCTCCATATGGCACTACAGCCCTATATGTGCTGACAGCCCCATATGGGCACTACAGCTCCCTATAGGGCCTACAGCCCCATATGTGCCCTACAGCTCCATATAGGGCCTACAGCCCCATATAGGCCCTACAGCTCCATATGGGCCCTATAGCTCCCTATGGCCCTACAGCCCCATATGGGCTCTACAGCTCCATATGGCCCTACAGCCCCATATGGGCCAACAGCCCATAGCACCCATAGGAACCCCCCCAGCACCC